CAGCACTGACCCTAGAGTCAGGAGAACCCGAATTCAAATTTGGCCTCAGACACATGATACTCATTAAGCTGTGTGACCCTGGGCAAGTCACTGAACCCCGACTGCTTCAGGGGAAAAAAAAATCTTGACCAATTATCCACACAGGGATAACAAATATGTATTGTCTAGATTACGTTAGCAGTTAGATGAACAATTTATAGAGTTTAGCCACTGGGTATGTGTGCATGGGTGTGCGTGTTTGCACACATTTATATACATATACATATAAACTTGCACAGACAGTGGAAATGGATGTGTTGGAACCAGAATTAAATAAAAGCGCACACTAGACTGCCAACAGGAAATTGCATAGCTATATTAATGACTCCATAATCCTATGTGAAATACCAGCCCACATTTTTAATATCAATATTTTGTTGTTATATGGCTGGGAGGTCATGGATAATTACATATTCTCTGAAGAAATAAAATTAAGTCTCATTCAGAAGACAATGGAGAGAGGCAGGGTTGGTATGAACATGTCGCTATACAAATAAGGCACTGTGAAGAACTAAAATAAGAGACATCATTAAAAAAAGTATAACTGAAAAAGATAGATAGTGGTATGTTACACTGGTGTCTTTGTAATATCAGGAATAGATGAGGAAAGCCTTGGTGGATCCCATGGAAAGTGTATGGGAGGGCATAGACAGGTAGGAGGCTGGTACGCATGACTGGATGGCAATCTGAACTCCTGCACAGAAGATCCTGATCACAGACCATGTGAATATTTGTGTATGGAGCACCATGACTGAAATATTTTAAACCCCTCCTCCCCCTGCCCCAGCTCCTTTTCTGAACATGTCTACCTCCCCATCTGTCTGAAACTGTGGCAGTCACTTAGGTCTTCAAAAGGCACGATCGTTTTCCTCATTATTCTGGTAGCTTTTGTCTATTTGTCATAAACTGGTGAAAAGCAAGAACTTTTAGACTTCTTGACGTGCATCACCTTTTACCTCTCTAGATCACAGAATATTAGAGCTCAACAGAAGAGGCCAATGAACCTTCACACCCTCATTTTATTAGTGAACAACTTTGACATCAAATTTGTCCTAACTCAAAACACCAAACTGATGGAAGAGCCAGGGCTCCTGACTTCCAATCCAGTCCAGAATTCTTTCCATTATATCATGATATTTTTCTCACTTGTTATGTCAATTTAATTAGTAAGCAATATTTTCCAAATAAGCTCTACTTGAACCTTATTGTCAAATATTAACAAAATTACAACACATTTTTATGTTCCTAAATTAGCAAAGACTATTTTAGATCTTTACAGAATGGGGTTCTGTACAGAATAGGTGCTCAATATGTCATTTTTTCAGTGCTTTAAAAACATAAATTTTAACTATTTCCTATGTGACCAACGGTGGTTGAAGGCAGGAGTACGAGAACCAACCTTCAGATTTTTGGGCAATTCCCTCTCTTCATAGCAAACAATTAAACAGTTGTTGGTGCTTCTACAGCTCTCAGAGATGGCAAATCAATACTCTGCTTTTCTAACTTTAAGGTGCACATGGTTGGCTGTAAATCCTTCACAGCTGCATCTTGTCAAATAGGCCAGGAATAGCAGCAAGTATAATTTATGCTAGGTTTTTTTTTTTAATGAGAAAAAGTGTCAGAATAATATGCAAGCTAAAAACTCACATCTTGATTTACTGTTTTAATTTTGAATAGCCTTATGTTGGCATGCCCAGAGACTTCTTTCTGGGGTCAAATGGGTGTGTTTTCCCCCTTTAAGATGATTGCTTTCAAGCCTCTCTGGGGAAGGAGCTTTGCTCAATGCCTCCCAAAATGCAAAAGCTGATTATTTAGGATTCCTACTTAACTCCAAGTCAGACCTATCATATGTATTAATCTACATAGATTAATAAGTAGAACCAAAGACTCACTATGGGCTGCTTTGGTTATGGATAATGAAATGAAACTGGACTGATTTTAATCCACAAACACAATCTGAAACAAGATTCACAGGCAGTAGCTAGCCCAAGACACTGTCACAATGGCTAGAGAGATCTCCTGCCCTTGTCCTCCCTCCAAGACTTTAGAGCAAAAATAGTAATTCACAAGTTTTAGAAGGGAATTCTGAGAAAAATTTGCCTAACTGCTGTATACTACAAAGCAACAGTCATCAAAACTATTTGTTTTTTTCTTTCTCAGAAGGAAAGCAGAAAATTAGGGGAAAATTTATTGACAGTTTATCAGATAAAGGTCTCATATCTAAAACATATAAAGAACTTTGTCAAATCTATAAGAATACGAATCATTCCAGATTGATAAATGGTCAAAGGATATGAACAGGCAGTTTTCCAATGAAGAAATCAAAACAATTTGCAGTCATATAAAAATGTTCTCAATCATTACTGATTAGAGAAATGCAGATTAAAACAACCTTGAAATATTGTTTTCTACCTACCAGATTGGCCAAAATGACGGAAAAGTGACAAATGATGGAAGAGATGTGGAAAACTTGGGACACTAATTGATTGTTGGTGGAACTATGAACTGCATTTTGGAAAGAAATCTGGAATTATGCCTAAAGAGTTATTAAACTGCCTTTGACCTAGCAATAATACTACTTAGTCTATTTCCAAAGATGATTAGGGAGAAAGGAAAAGAATCTATGTGTTCTAAAATGTTTATTGCAGCTCTCTTTGTGATGGCAAAAAACTGGAAATTGCAGAGATCCCCATCAATTGGCGAATGGCTGAACAAATTGTGGTATATGATTGGGATGGAATACTACTGTACTATAAGAAATGATGACCTCAATGATCTTAGAAAAACATGGAAAGACTTGCACGAAATAATGAAGAATGAAATGAGCAGAACCAAGAAAACATTGTATACAGTAACAGCAGGATTCTTTTAAGAATGACTCTAAGCAAATAAGTTATTTTGACTATTATAAATACCCAAATTAACTCTAAATGACATACTAATAAAGATGCCATCTGCATCCAGAGAAAGAAGTGATAAATAGATACACAGAATAATTTTACATATATATGTATATGTATATATACCTATTTGTATTTAATGGCAGCCATCTCTAGGGCAAGATGAAAAAAAGAGAAATTTACATGATAATTTTGTTGCATTTGAAAAGAATAGCAAGTTGTGCATAGTCAATTTGTAGTTTCATGTACAATCATCTTTTTTATTGTACTATGTTATGAAAATGCTTGTTTTATTCCACAAATTAAAAATTAAAATTAAAAACTATTTGGTATTGGTTAAAAAATAGAAAATTTCATCAATGGCAGATCTGATACACAAGATCAAAAAGCAACTGGATACAGTAGCATAACCTTCGATAAATCCAAGGACATAGAAAACAAAGGGAAGGACTCACTTCTGGAAAGACGGAAAGCAGTCTGGAAGAAATGAGGCTTAATCAACAACTCACACTATATACCATAATAAGGTCCAAATGGATGTACTACCTAGACATAAGAGGTCATATCATAAACAAATCAGAGGACAAAAGGAGAAACCTTTCACAGCCTAAGACGGGGAAGAGTTTTTCACTACACAAGGGTTAGAGAAGATGGCAGGAGATAAAATGGACAATTTTGTTTACATACAACTAAATTTTTTTTCTAAAAAAAAAAAAAGATTCAGAAGGGAAATAACTAAGTGGGGAAAATATCTTTGTAGCAAACTTCTGATAAAGGTCTGCTATCCAGGATGTATACATAATTGATATAAATATACAATAACAAGAAACAATCTCAATAGGTAAATAGTCAAAGGAACAGGAAGTTCTCAATGGAAGAAATCCACATGATCAACAGCCATATGGATTAATGCTCCAAATAACAAATAATAAGAGAAATATAAATTAAAATGACTCTGAGCTTCTGCCTCACATCCATCAGACTGGCAAAAGTGATTAAAAAGGAAAAGACAATCGTTTGGGAGACGGGGAACTACGAGAAGACAAAAACACTAATGAAATAAAGTAGTACTGTGAATTGTTCCAACCATGATAGAAAGCAATTTGGAACAATGCCCAAGAAGCAGGGGTGTGCTGGTAAATATTCAACATCTAGCTCTCAACCCCATCCCAAAAGTATATACAACACTCTTTTAAGTTTATTTACATTTTCTCTATCACTTTCTAAAGTCTAATAATCAACAGAACAATGAATCAAGCCTTGATTTGTAGTGTTTTCCAGTCTCCAAGGTGAAAATCTAAGGATTAATTCTCACCAGTTGTTCTGAGCTGGCTCCAGCACACCACTGCCAAGATGTCACTAAACTATGTATATACTCTGATCCAATAATACCACCCCAGGCATATACCCCAAAGGAGATTAAAGAGGAAAAGATCCATGTGTACAAACATATTTATCTAAGCCATTTTTATAGAAAAGAACTGGAAACTTCCAAGAAGTATCCATCGATTGGGACATAGCTGAACAAATCAGACTATATGAATATAATAGTACTGTTCTCTAAGAAATGACTAAAAGGGTGGATTCAGAGAACCCTGGGAATACTCATGTGAACTAATGAATGTTGACTTCACTCTTCAATTCAGTGTTCTGGGGGAGTAGTGATAATGCTACCCCCCACCCCAAAAAAGAAAAGAAATAAAAGAGTGAAAAAAGAAAATCACTTAGAAACCAAAAGGACAGAGCCTAACAAGGGCAATATTTGTACTACCACAATAAATTTTTTATATAGATATAAACTTATATTCTGTATAATCTATATTTTAAAAAGCTGTATGTAATAGGAAAAAATACAAGGCAATTGAGAAGAATCATTATGTAGTTTTGACAGTCAAGACGATTTCATTCCTGGCCCTTATCAAAGCTTTTAAGATGAAGATTTCACAACTATTAAATCTTGATTAGGTGAATCGCAATCCATGATTGCTGGAAAGGAGGAATGCACTAGGGTCTAATACTGAAGTTCCCAGACAAGTAAAGCTAGAGAAAATGCAAACGTACCACCGTTTTTCTGGCTAGCTCTATCTCTCCAATTTTTTCCAGCAGGTCATAGATGAGATCAGTTTGAAAGAGGGCTTCACTGATGGGTGCAGTGTGAGTTTCATTTCCAAGGTAATCAATCAGATCAAAGGCCTTTTTCAGAGACACCTTTCCTAAGCTGGAGTGTCAGAAAATAGGGAAAAAGAATTAATCAGGAAACAAACCAATGACATGAAATTTAAATTTAGTCATGGGATCTAGAAAAAAAGCAGGTTTAAATTTTCTTGCCCAAGTTTAGTTCAGGATAAAAATGAAAACATTTCACAAGGAAGGGGGAAATGGAATGATAAGTTAATTTTTGAACCAATATATCACTTGAAAATAGCTGCTCATGTGGGAAAAGGATTAAATGTTCTTAGAGAGTAGGGAGAGGACTGATTTCAATTTAGACTTTCTGCAGAGAGGTAAGAGAGGTAAGCAATATAATGTTTTCCTTTTGGCATACATACAAAGCTGTTAAGATGTTTTACAGAACTCTTATTTTTCAGAAAAGATTTTAGAGTAGTGGGGGAAGTTATGCTCATAATGGAGAACTATAAAGGTGGGAAAAGGTTATTCAATATAAAGGAAAATAAATGGTGATCAACAGCTGTCAAAGCACCACACCCAAACAACAACAAACCTTGCCCATTGTTCAGTCAAAGGTCCATCAGAAATAGAAAAGCGAAATATCTTATTTGTGTACTAAATTTTGGAGCTGGATGAGACTTTATCTGAGGATCCACATTTAAGTAAAATGAGTTTCCAAAAGGTACAGAGATTTATTCAAGTCATTTCCCTGCTGGAAAAAAAAAAACCCCAAAAACCTGCAATGGTTCATTACTGCCTACTGAATCAAAGCCTTCCTTAATCTGGCATGACCCTATCTAGCTACTTTTGTTTTTCCTAAGACCTCCATGCTCCAAAATAAGTTCCCTTTGCCCCAGACACTCCAGTCCTTCCTGACTATTCTTCAAGCTGTACATTACTGCTTTTCTGACCTCACTTATGCTGGTCCTCCAGCCCAGAATGAACCCTCCCTTTGCAGAAGTCCATTCTAATCTTCCCTATCCTTCAAGGCCCAATTCAAACTATCTCTCTCCTGACTACTGCAGTCCACTACTGACCTCTCTTCACTTAATACCACATACCTTGGCATTTATTTATTTACAAATTCTTTCAGTGTTTATCAAATCTCCTCAATTTGACTGTAATCTTTAAGTAGAAAGGACACATCTTACATTTATTTCATATGTCAAATTAGGATCAAACCACCTAACATCTCCTAGATATTTTAAAGTTCTATAAAGGTTTATGCATCCCATGGTCTCATAGTTATTCTCAACCTTAAGAAAGAGAAGTACATTTGAAAGGAAAGAAAGAGAAATAGCAATGGTCTAAGAAGGGCTGTGTAGCAGCATGGGAAACCCAGGGATCTTATCAGATGTCAGTGAAGTTAATGAGTAACAATGAAGTGGAACATTTAAACTAAACGCATTTAAAAAAGAATTTCCTTAAAAATGAGACTTTTGTTTGGTTTGAGCTGTGCTTCCTCTGTAAAGCTTCCTAAATTGTCATCCTCTGAACACCTTTAGCAATTATTAGTTTCTTCATCTGTAAAATGGAGATAAAAATGGCACCTACCTTCCAGGGCTACTGTGATGGTCAAATAAGATAACTGAAAAGAGTAGCACAGTGGATAGAGCATTGGACCTGGAGTCAGGAAGACTTCTCTTCCAGAGTTCAAATCTGGTCTCAGACACTTAATAGCTTAACCCTGTTTGCCTCAGTTTCCTTATCTATAGATGGAAAGGCAAACCATTCCAGTATCTTTGCTAAGAAAACCCTACGAGAGGTCATGAAGAGTTGAACACAGCCAAAAAACGACTGAACAACAACAGCACAAGGCTGGGCATGTGGTAAGAGCTATATAAAAGTTATTATCATCTTCAATATAGTAGTATATTTGCAGCATATAGTAAGCAGTTAATAAACACATGTTACTTGTTGACTGAATTACAATACATTTAGCAACTGCTGTCTTTATACTTATTGCTCTTCTACATAATGCCTAAAATATACACCCTACTACTCACCTCTTCTTCTTAGAATCCTTGGAGACTCAGTTAAAATGCTACCTTTCTACATAAATTTTTTTCTGATCCCCCCAGATGATAGGACCTTTGCCACAAAAACCTACCTCATGTCTCTATCTAAATACACATATATTTAGATGCTGACTCCCTCACTAGACTGTAAGCACCACAAGGGTAGTCTTTTACTACCGACTTTGAATTCCCAGCACCTAATAGTTTGCTAGATGAGTGTGACATCACTAGTTTTGTCATGAATTATGACTTAAAGCCTTTACTTAAATTTATATTTGTTTGTGTCTTCTCTCTTTAACTAGATTCAAGGATCCTTGGGAACAGGTCCTGGGTTTTACACTTCTGGATAACCCCTCCAGCTCTCTGTAAAGTGTAATTCATGGTAGGGAGTAAATATTTATTGGTTTGATTAGGACATTTATAAGTAACATTTTCCAAAGACTCACATCAAGAGGAACTAACTCCTTACCTTGAAAGTTCAAATATATTGTTGATAAGGCCAGCTCGGTCTCTGTCACTCAGGACACTAATGTTTCTTTGCAATTGCTTAATTAATGCTTCCCAGTCAGGATCTGCATAGTGTACTATGTAGTACCCAGTCACATCCACATTGAACTTAACCCACTGCACTTCTTCTGTAAGATTGAGGACATCTAATTCAGACAAAAGAGGGAGAGAAGGATAGACCATCAGTTAACAAATGGCAGCTTTGTTCTATTTCAAAATTAGAAATTTCATATTTTAAAAATAATCGTTTTCCTAGGAAATCAATTCTATATTCCCTATTAGAGTTATTACCCTGCTTATAAAACAAAAATGTAGTAGTGAAATAAGCATATTACATCTACTTCTCTAAAATTTCTTAGAAAACCTTTAAGTGGTAGAAGGCAGCAATATAACTGATTACTCCAATATTTTTCTTGAAGGCCAAAGAAATGAGGAATATAAAAAAGGCATTTGTCCAAATACCTGACATCATAGGAAGAAGTAGTTACACTAAGGCCCTCTAGGTCCTGAATCTAATCTTCACAGAACAAATCCCCTTAATAAAAGGATTTGTTCTGTAAAACTTAGACTCAGTTAAAAAGCAGTACCCAAGGGCCTAGAAGGCCACTTGTGGCCTCCAGGCCACAGGTTCCCCACCCCTGCACTAAGCAAATAAAGGAAACACTGTTATTGTGTAAACAGTAATGGTAATGGTAAGCAACAGTTTTGTCTAGGATGGTGAATGGGCAGTAAAGACCATTCCACAGAGTGTTTTCTGTAAGGAGAATTTGTTTTGTATTAAACACTCCCCTGTTTTATGGTTCAAATCCTTTGTCCGCTGCTTATTACCTCTGTGACCTTAAGCAAGTCTCTTAAGCTTCAGGGGACTCAACTCTTTAAATTGAGGAGGTTGGACAAGATGGCCCTCCCTCTCAGTTCTAGACTAGGCCTACTGAATGGAAGACAGCCCCAAACCTACTTTAGATGAGATTTAGTAGCTCAATGATTCAAGAGATTCCCAGCAACAGGTCCTTGTTAGCAAGTTAAAGGCTTTCAGTTCTGTTCACTCCAAAATCATGTCCAATTTTCTCTGATGAATATTCTTAAATCTAACAAATTCTCAGATCCTGGCTACCAAGTTAACTTGACATTTAGAAAATTCAAATATGACACTTGTCCTATCACATGGTACTGAATTCTACTTAGTTATTCCCACTCTTGCACAGTTGCGTTTTATTGTCAAAATAACTTAAAAAGGAAGCCTGCAAACACTTGGTACAATAGCAATGACCTGCCTATGAACCCTCTCTGATTTCTCTGGCACAGACCAAAATTGGTCTAATGTAGTCTAAGGTACTTCTCCCGAAATATACTCAAGGGCAAAGTGAAAGAGTAATAATGACGATGATGACAATGACAACAACGATGATGATAATGATGAAAACAAGCTAGCACTTTTAATAGCACCTACTATATAACAGTGTCAAGTATTGCCTCATTTGGTGGCAGGTACTATTTTTATCCCCATTTTACAGATGGGGAAACTGAGGCACAGAGTGGTACAGTGACTTGCCCAAGGTCACACAGATAGTAAGAAGCTGAGGCCAAATTTGAACCTGGCTCTTACTGACCTAAGGGGTAGACCTAAGGATTTTACTCAAATATATATGGTATATCTCAGGAGTTATAACACGTGCTTAGGTTCTTTTCTCTCTCTCTACACACACACACACACACACACACACACACACACACACACGGAGACCTTAACTCAAATTTATGTATCAATCCAAGAGCAAAAAGCAATGCCCTAACTGGTAATGTATTGATTTCTTCTTTTCTTCATTTTTGTTAAGAGATAAAGAATTCTTCTGACTCACTCATAGGCAGCTAGGTAGCATTGTGGATAAAGCACCAGGCCTAGAGTCAGGAAGACCCAAGTTCAAATTTGGCCTCAGACACTTAACAGTTGTGAGATCCTGGACAAATCACATAACCTCTGTTTGCCTCAGTTTCCTCATCCGTAAAATGGAAAGAATACCACTTATATCCCAGAGTTGTTGTGAGGATTAAATGAGATATTTGTAAAGTGCTTAGCACAGTGTCAGGCACATAGTAGGCACTACATAAATGCTATCTATCATCATCATCATTATTATTAATCAATAAACATGTATTATGGCACCTACTATGTGTCAGGCACTGTGCTAAGCTATAGGGATACAAAAGGAGGCAAAAGAAAATCTCTGCCCCAAGAAACTTACAATCTAATGGGACTCCTAAATTTTAGCACTGACTCCTAAATCAAGCAATGTCTCAATGATCAGACCATCACTGCTAATATTAATAAATACGGCAAATGTTTAGATGAAAAAGATTTATTAAGCTTTAAGTATCCTGCATCTCTGCATAGATGGGAAAATATAAATGATTTAATCTTTTTTTAAATCTGTAACTAGTAGAATTTCAATTGTCAATATTAATATGGTAGTCACACATACAGTGATATATTCATTAACATATTAATTATTATTAAATAGGTTGATTATACTAACATAATCATTATTTATTAATGAATATTAAATGTAATATATTAACATAGTAGTCACAAATGGCATAGGCAGATTAGACAGTCAAGCTTATTCCTTTGCCAAAGCTGAATAGAGTTGTCAGGAACAGCAGAATCAGCAGCAGTCATGCCAAGTGAGAGATATTTTAAATTTATCCCTAACAAAATAAGTTAGCCTTATTCATTGGCTAATCTGAAAATTGCTGACCAGGACTTATTAAAATGTGCAGGTTGGGAAAGACTCATCTGTGAACCAAAAATCTTTCTTATTTGGGGAAGAGTCAGGGAATACTAGAAGTGGTACAACTTTGTCATAGGACCGACTGGAAGAAAATGTCCACTTACAGATGGTTGATAAGTAACTTGACACAACATCAAAATACCACGAGAGTCCAGATGGTAGAAAGAATGCTGCTGGCATTAGGACATCAGCATACAAAGGAATGGGATGAATGACATATTTAAAAAGAGGTACTATTTTAAAGAAATCAGTGACTTCTGTTTGTCTTTTCCATATCTTCCAAATGATTTTGAATAGTGACTCAAACTACAGGCATGGAGAAATAGCAAAAATGTACAAAAGTAAGTATATCCCATAGTAAAACCCAGAGAAGGCAACTCCAGTGTGTTTGTTTTTTTTGTTTGTTTTTTTTTGTGTGTGTGTTCTTAATACAATCAGTGGCAGAATAACTTTTATTTTTGCACATAGTTAATGATCAAACTGCAAACTTAAATGCAGATGAAACGATTCAGTATTAGTTTATCAAGTATCTGTCAGAGTAATAAAAAGTCAACCACTGTTTTTATAAAGGAACATCTGAGTTGTGCTCTAAAATGGTAGAGCAGTAAGAAATCATAGTCTGTCAACAAGCATTTAAGTGCTTGCTATGTGTCTGGTATTGTGCAAAGTTCTGGAAACAGAAATAAAGACAAAAACAGGGTCCCAACATTCAAAGAGGTTATATTCTTCAACCTCTCTTCATTCTTCTCCAGGATGCCCTGCTGACCCATCTCCACAGAGCTTTGTTTACCGTGCCATAGAAAACTCTTCACCCTGGAAGCTCACTCTACCCCTGGACCACTGGGCTACTTTTCACACTGGAAGTATCCTTCACTCTTGTGGCTACTCTTTCTGGTTAGCTGGTTCTTCCCAAACTTGCACTTTAAGGAGACAGTCCAGGATAACCGTACCTTCATTCCTCTCCAGGCTGCACTGCTAACTCAATTCCAAAGGACTTTTTCTATCATATCCAAGTCAGGTACCTTCACCCCGCCTCCTCCAATAAAGACTGCCTTTCCTTCTGCTTGCATTTATTCCCAGCACTTAGCAGAGTCCCTGGAACATATTAAGGACTTGATAAATGCTGGTCAACTTGTCAATTGATATCCTAATGGGGAAAGCAGCATGCAAATTATATATGTGCAAGATACACCAATCAATCAACATTTACTAGCCTCCGACAGGCTAGGCATGGTACAGAGTGCTATGGATACAAAGAGGCAGAAAACAGACCTTTCTTTCAAGGTTCTCACAATCTAATGGGAGGAAACAATATGCAAACAAATTGATACATATAAGTTACATATAGGATAAATAGAGAATAATTAACAGAGGGAAGGAATTAGAAATAAGACCAGTTGGGCAAGGCTTCTTGTAGAAAGCAGGATTTTAGTTGGGACTTCAAGGAAGCCAAGGAGGTCAGTAGTAGAGAGGAGGACAGAGAATATTCCAGGCATGGGGGAAAGCTAGAGAATATGTCCAGAGCCAAGAGCTTTGTCTTGTTCATGCAACAGTCAGAAGGCCAATGTCACTGGATCGAAGGGTATGTGCCAGGGAGTATATAGGAAGACTGGAAAGGTAGGAGGATTATGAAAGGCTTTGACTGCCAAACAAAAGATTTTCTATTTGATCCTGAAGGTGACAGGAAGCCACTAGAGTTTATTGAGTGGGCGGGGGGATGGGGATGAGGGTGGCATAGTCAGCTCTGCATTTTATAGGAAAATAACTTTAGTGGCTAAATGGAGGCTAGATTGAAGTGGGGATAGGCTTCAGGCAGGCAGAACTACTAACAGGCTATTAAAGTAATCAAGACCCAAGGTGATAAGGGCCTTCAACTAGAGTGATGGCAGTTCAGAGGAGGAAAAGAGGCATATTAGAGAGATGTTGCAAAGATGAAATTTACTGATCTTAACGATAGACTGGACACAGAGGATAAAAGATAATGAGAAGTCCTTGCAACCTTGAGGGTCTGGGAAGATAGTATGATGCTCTCTACAATAACAGGGAAGGTAGGAAATGGGGAAAGTTTAGAGGGAAAGATAAGGAGTTCTGTTTTAGACATGTGGAGAACTGGACATCCCTTTCAAGATGTCTGAAAGGCAGCTGGAGATGTGAGCTTGCAGATCAGCAGAGGGTATGGGAGAGGATGGGTCAATTGAGAATAGCCAACACAGAGATAATAATTAAATCCACAGGAGCTGATGAGATCACCAAGTGAAGTAGTACAGAGTGGGAAGAGAGCAGAACAGAACCCATCTGGACTGAGGACTCAACAAAAAAGACTCAGAGGGTACAGTCAAGACAGGTGGGAGGAAACGGGACAGAGTGGTGTCCTGAAAACTTGGAGAGAGGAGAGTACCAAGGAAGAGGTGATCAATAGCGTCAGAGGCCACAGAGAGGTCAAAGAGAATGAGGATTGAGAAAAAGTCAGGATATTTGGCAACTGAGAGATCATTGGTAACTTTGGAGAGGGCAGTTGCAGTGGAATAATAATGTCAGAAGCCAGAAGAGATGAAGTGGAGGCAGCTATTACAGATAGACTTTACAAGGAGTTCAGCCACCAAGAGCAGAAAAGATACAAGACGATGACAAATGACGGAATGATTGGGTGAGGGTTTTTTCAGGATAGGGGAGATATTAGAATGTTTGTAGACAGTCGGAAATGAGTCAGTAGAGAGGGAGAGACTGAAAATAAATGAGAATGGGGATGACAGAGGGGGCAGTCTGTTGGAGGAGACAGGAAGGAAGAGGATCACTTGAGAGGGGTTGCCTTGGTAAGGAGAAAGGCCATTTCATAATGTAAGACAGGAGTGACTGAAAGTGTAATCTGTGTAATTTCTTCTGTCCCTATCCCATTTTTCACAATCAATACCTTGTGTGAATAAGTCAAGTTAGAGTTATTTTAATTGCATACCATAACTTTTTTCTCATTGTTGTTCTTTCTGTTAGCTCTGCATTAGTTTTTATCTTTGTTCTAATGAGTCAATGGTCTGAAAAGGCAGACAGTTGACTTCCCAATGTCTCCTCCATCAGTAATGAATCATTTCTTATCTGTTAAAATACACTCAATTTGGTCTTTTGTGATGTTATGTGACATTATCCAGCATCTACTAATTCTTCTCTTAAATAAAATACTCATGATTTATAGGTGTGAGGCTTCTCTGCTGCCTAAAAGTCTGGCTTCTTTCAATCCTCATTCCTGATCCATATTTTCAAACATATTTTTCGTCATCCATGCCTAATCTCATTGCTGAATCTGAATCACTGAGAAGTATATTAAAAGCTGATTTAATTTGAACAGTCTTGTCAACTTCTTCATAGATTTTCTCTAATTATTGTCCATTTATGTTGCTCTTTTTGCAAATACTTATCATGGACATCTCTGTGTGACCCTGGACAAGTCACCTAACCCTGTGTGCCTCAGTTCCTCATCTGTAAAATGAGCTGGAGAAATGGCAAACCACTCCAGTCAGTATCTTTGCCAAGAAAATCCCAAATGGGGTCATGAAGAGTTAGACACGACTGAAATGACTGAACAACAAATCGTGAACGTTGTGATATGGGATGACCAAATATCTCATAAAACATTTCTTTCTATCTTTGGACAAAAATTAAAATCAATCCTGGTAGCAACTTTATTTGCCTCTCTCCAGGGAGAAACTGTAAGCCATAGCTACAAATTTCCTCCTGCCTTCTGGTTTTGTTTAAGATTTTCTGTCAAGACCAATAAAATACAATTCCTCTGATACCATGTATATTTGCTGGTCACTGGACAAGTGGTTCTTACATTTAGAGCAGCAATAACTAAGTCAATGTTTCTGGATGGTTTAAAAATTGTGTGATTCACAGTCTACACTGATGTCCATGAACATTTAAAAAATATGCTGATAATTACATTTTAACATAAGTTTATTTTGTAATATTATATATTTGATTTTGTACATTTAAAAACATTCTGAAAAGGGATCCAGAGGCTTCACCAGACTGATAAGAGGGTCTGTGACATACAAGAAGATTAAGAACACTTGTTTTATATACCCCGTTAGTGCCCTGACACCATCACTGCAGAACAGGACCACGGATCATTTTGTATTTTTCTTTATTTTATTGGTTGCCATGGTCAATGAATTTGTGACCACATGGCCAATCTACTGGTAATAAGCCTTTGTGTACTTAGCTAGGGTGGTCCTCTCAAAGTATACTCAGTTTGTTGCCAAGAATGTCCTTGAAGCATTTCCAATGTGGTACTGGAGTAAAGAGCCGGTACTCTGATGAAAAGCCTCTGAGAACCTACAATTGCCTCCATGCCATGGCTTTGGAGTAGAACTTTGTGTAGGGAGCTGAACCTTAGTCTTTATGACTGTGTTTCTTAGTGCCTTACTCATTATGTTGAGTTATCTCTACTTAAAAATGGAAAAAGCAGTGTGGCTTAATGGAGAGAGGACTAGATTCCAAGACACGAAGACCTGGATTCAAATCCTTTCTATGACACTTAGTAACTGAGGATAACCATGGTCAATTTGCTTCAGCTTCCTGAGTCTCAGTTTCCTCATCTGTAAAATAGGAATTGTAATCTCCACTTCAAAGACTTATGAGGCTCACAAGGGTCAATGTACAGAAAGCATTCTGCAAATATTAAGGAGTAGAGAGAAATCCTGTAACAGTAAGGAGAAATCCTAACTACTACTCACGAAGAATATAATTAAGAGGTCACCAAGAACTCTGGAGATTTCAGTTGAATTATTACCCTCCCCCAGATATATAAAGTGGAAATAAAAGGGATATATTAAAAAAATGTAAAATACTCAAATTATTATAATTGTAATCCAAAATTCACAATATATTAACAGTGTTAAACTACCAAGTCACAGGATTTATTTCCAAATGCTTTTTATAGAAATAAAAAGAAGACAACTATAAAAAGATTAATTTTTTATGATTAGAACATGCCAATGATGAAAATGATGGTATTAATTAAAATATTTATATATTTCCTACTATACAACAAAACTACCAAGAGGTTAACTTATTGAACTAGACAAAATAACAGCAAAATCATTTGGAAGAACTAAAGGAATTATCAAGGGAAATAATGGGTAAAAAAAAGGAGTGATAGAGTTTTAGCACTATAAGATCTAAAACTATGATATAAAGAAAGCATTAATCACTAAAGACTATTTGGTACTGGTTAAAGAAAAAGTTGATCAACAGAATAAACCAGGTAAGTAAGGAAACCATTAGCATCTAACACTAGTCAGTGTTCAATAAAACACAGAATGAAATCTTTGGGGTTGGGGATGATGGTGGTGGTGAGCAAAGACTCTCTATTATGCCATAACTTCTGGGCAAGCCCAGAAAGTAGTTAGCCAGAAAACTGGTTGAAATCAGCATCTTCCATCATAAATCACAAAAACTTCCAATGGCTTTGTGACTATGTATAAATTTTTTTTAAAAAAAAAGAAAAAAGAAAGGAAGTGATTATTTCAAAAATGGCTCTATGGAAAGTTCTTAACCAAACAAAGGATGGTGATGATCATAAAAGAGGAAAGAAGGTAATTTTTAATATATAAAAAGTTTTTGTACAAACTATCAATACAGCTAAAATAGCAAAACCACTGACTTGGTAAGAAAAAAATCTTTGCAACAAATACTATAAAAGTCTGATATCCAAAATATATGGAGATTTGAAAAAAGTATCAAATGGTCAAGATCAAATGGTGTTCCACAATGGATAAGTGATCAAAGAAAAGTCTTTCAAAAAAAGAAATGCACACTGTCCACAACATGAAAAAATGTTGCAAATAACAAATGATTAAAAAAAAAACAAATTTAAATAAATCCGAGATTGTGCTTTATGACTAGCAAACTACCATCAAAGAAGTTAAAATATGGAAAAGTTAATGATGGAGGGAATGAAGGAAAGCAGGTACATTGTGAAATGACTAAACCGTTCCAGAAATCAACTTGGAATTAATAACATAAGTAACAGCTAGGTGACACAGTGTCCTGGAGTCTATAAAACCTGAGTTCAATTTTGGCCTTCAGGTACTTACCAGCTGTGTGACCCTGGGCAAGTCACTTAACTCTGGTTGCCTCAGTTTCCTTACCTGTAAAATGAGCTGGAGAAGAAAATGGCAAGCCACTCTAGTGTCTTTGCCAAGAAAACCCCAAATGGAGTCACAAAAAGTTGGACATGACTGAACAACGACAAAAATCACTAAACCGTTCATACCATTTAAATTAGAACTATCACAACTACCTTCAAGGAGGTCAAAAACAAAAAGGGTGGTCGTTTATATAGCAAAACATTCACAGCAACATTTTTTGTGGCAGCAAAATATTGCAAACAAGGCGGATGCCCATTAATTGGCAAATAATTACAGTAAATGAACATGACAGATTATTATATTACAAAAATAAGGAACATGAACTCAGAGAAACTTGAAAAGATTTGTATTAACTGCTATGGAACAAAGAATGTAGAACTAAGATAATAATATAAAAATAATTCCAATAATGTAAAGGAAAATATCACTAAAACAAATCAAAATTCAGACTGATACAATACAGTAACCAATTTTTATCCCAAAACACGACAACTCTGGGTGGTAGAAGCTATTATTATCTCCATTTTTCAGATGAGGAAACTGAGGCAAACAGAAGTCAAGTGCCTTGTCCGACTTAACACAGGAAGTGTCTGAGGTCAAACCTAAATTCAGATCTTTCTGCTTCCAGGCCCAACTCTCTATCCACTGTGCCACCCAGCTGCCTAGATGATGTAAAAAAATATTAAAAGGATCAATAAGCCATTAAAAAAGAAAATTCTATGCAAATGTAAAGTGTTATATACGATACCTGATTTTTTGTTTAGTAATGTCACATATGGATATTCTTGTGGCTTATAGTCACTAGTGATGTAAGAGAGTGGAATATGCCACAGGTGGCTATAAAGAGAAAAAATTGTTGAAGAATTATTATTACTTTATTTTTAACTGGCTATATAACTGAATTTTTTTTTGAAAGAGTCAACTAAATTTTTAAAGCTATTATTTCAAGAGTTAATTCATCAAACTACAGTATTCCACAAACAAGTCTGATTTATGCAAGACATTCAAAAAGTTCCTCCCCCCTCAATCTGGCAAATAAAAACATTAGGAAAATCAAACAGAAGTATATTTTGATGAATTAAAAACCTGAATACAAAAAACTTCTTCCTAAACATGGCCTTCACTTTTTCTAACCTGCAACCAAAATCTTAAAAATTCTATTTTGAAGGGAAAAAAGAGAGTATATTCTCACACTTGAGAGTTACATAGACAAATCATCAATACCAGTGGTTTCCCAACTCAAAACTATTTTAGGCTAGGAAAATATCCAATTCTCTGTCATAGAACAGTCTCCCTTCTACATGCTAGGCTTAGTGGTTCTGGGGGTGTGTGTGTCTGTGTGTGTGTGTGTGTGTGTGTGTGTGTGTGTGTGTGTGTGTGTGT